GTGTCCTAGAGTTCAGTCCTGCACCTGCAATTTGTTATCTCTAAGACCGTGGTCAGGGTACCAGAGTTTTCTTTGTTTCAGTGTTCTCCTCCTAAGGATGAGGCTACGTATAGTGTCTACCTCTGAGGGCTGTTAGGAGGATTCAGTGACTAGAAAGGCAGTGAAAGTGCCTGACACATAGCTCGCACTCACAACACATTAGCTCTTTGTATCAGAATTAATGTTCGGTTTGGTTGTGAGGGCGTTAACTTACATTTAGGTTCCTATTTAAGCATAAAGAAGACATTATCAACAGGCATCCACACTTTGGTGGAAATATCATTTCAATGCTACAGTACTGTTTAACCACCGTGGGAAATCTGAGGCTCTTACATGCAATTTAAAATAGAATAGCTTCCTTCTAAAGTGAGAGCACTCTTTTTTGAAAAAGGAAAGTTGATGCAGGAAATGTTCCTTAACCAGACAGCGAATAAATCTCCCATCTTAAGTGCGAAGGAGCAAAGAAGTAGCCAAAACATAAATTAACTGTTGTTCTCTGACCTCATACTTTTTGAAGAGCAGGTGAATTATATGTTTATATCTATTGAAGATAGGCTTACAGTATAAGATTACCTTTCTAATTATAGATTCTCTTGACTATCTAGAGCAAATAGGACTAGACCAAGCCTGTACTTAAAAGTCGGCAGGTCTGGATATGGAAAAGCTGGCATTAGTAAACAGCAGGGGTTGAATATTGCAGGGCCTACTGAGATTTGAGAAGCACTAAGTTGTCCCTTTGTCCCAGCATAAAATGAGTGATGGCCTTGGGCAAGTTACTTAATGCCTCGGAGCCAAGTTGTTTTGTGTACACAGTGTGTGGCACTCATGCTAGCTCATGAGTGTGTTTGTGAGAGTTTAGTAAGTGCATTATTCATTTACCTACCTCCACAGAGGGCACATAGAAGGCTCTCCGTGAATTCATTCGTTTTCTCTTTCCAGTGCAGCAAAGTATAGATAATCATACCCAATGATACTTTCTTTTTAAACATACTGGAAGTTGGGGGGCCTGACAGTCTTATCCAGATCTGAGTTGTGCAAACATTGTGAGGACAGAAAGGGGAAAAAACAGGTCGAAAGCACAGAGTGGGAATTTTTGATGATAACATTGCACAGTTAGAAGAAAGGAGGAACATCTGTATTAGTTCAAAGCCATGGTGTGACAAATGCATAATTTTATGTGGTTAAACCCACTTGTGTCAGTTGCAGTATATAGGCCGACCCCATCGTCCTTCCATCAGTGGATCTGTTTATCCTGGCCGAGGCACCAACATTAGGTGGATAGGGAAATATGAGAAGAACTGGATAAATGTGGCTTTTAGCCTCCAGACGATTCCAGGATCAAGGACGTGAGAAAGTGATCCGAAGCTCGCGTGTCCTGTGGGTCAGGCCCTGTTCCTTGATGGTCTCTTACAGAGACGAGACATAATGAAAGGGAGGGTCAACTGAGATCACCCCTATGGGTCTCAGGAGGTGAGCTGGAATGGTCTAAGAAAGCTTTGCAACCGACTGGACCTTCATTGGCTGGAGTTTACAAGAAAGGGCACCTGCGGCTGAAGCTGGGCTTTGTGGGAAGACTTGTCCGGTGAGTTTAAGGATGCAGTGGAGAAGCTTCCTCGGGGGTTGAGTGCAGAGCACTGATGTTTCTGTACAAGATGACTCAGATAGAGAACAAGGTGCTCCTGGGAGATTCGTGAGAGAGCCATCCCCTGAATTCGCAGGCTGAGTATAATTATTGTGACTCTCTAATGAGACCACAAGAAATGACAAAACGGTGAAGGAAAGTCCCCGAGAAGGACATCATGCTCGGTAACGTAGAGAGCAGCACAGAGAGGAAGGTGCTCTACAAGAGGGTTTGTCCGCGTGGCTGCAGGCATGGGCTCCGGCGTGGGAGCAGTTAGGAGGATGGCGCCGGACCGGGCAGTGGTGCTGTGCATCCAGTTGCTCTGGATCAGAACCGACTCGATGGCCACTGATGACCACGACATAAAGGGCAGGAAGAAAAGGCAAGAGGGGATCTGTGTTAGTCTAGGTCGACCAGAGAAACAAATTCATAGACACTCCTGTGTTTAGGAGAGAGCTTTATATACAAGAGCAGTTGAATATTGAGAAAACAGCCCAGTCTAGATCAAGTCCATAAGTCCAATATTAGCCCATATGTCCGATACCAATCTTTAAATTCCTCTTCAGACTCACAAAACCCATGCAATGATGCTGAATGCAGGAAGATCACAGGCCAGTGTGGGAATTCTCGTGGACCCAGTGGTGGTAGGAGCATCTCAGTGCTGGGGCTCCTCCAGTTCCCAAGGCACAGACTATCGGCATAGGACCATGTGTATTGTCAGTAGAGAGTCTCTCAGGGAGTGAGCAGAGAGAGAGAGAGTCTCCTACCTCCAAGGAGGAAATACAGGAGTTCCCAGAATCCTCATGGGGAGGCCATGCCCACACAAGAGGCCTCATTGGCTCTACAGTGACTGACATGCTTCTACCCTTTCACTCATACTACTCTCAGACGAACAACAGAGTATAACTACCCCAGAAGATAAAGAGGAAAAGATGGAAAAGAATCCAGACAGAAGATAAGTAGCATTTTCCGAAAGTTGACATAAGTTTGTATTTCTTCACACTTCTTTCAGCAATACATTTATTTTGTAAATAGGAGCAATATGTGTTTTACAGAAAATTTTGAGAAGTACAGGAACTTTAGAGAGAAAAAAAATTAAAGACCTAATTGCCTAAAAAAATGATCGCTAATATCATGGAGTATGTATACTTTCCCAAGTTTTTAATGTGCAAAAACCCATTCTTATGTTGAAGCAGGAGAAGAAAAAAAAAAAGGAAAATCCAACCCACTGCTCAAGTGGGGTACACTGCCAGGTTTATTATGAAAGTCACTCTCATGCAAATTGCAGCAATGGAAACAGTCACGTGTTCAGCAATATTGAATTGAGAAGTACCTGCCAAATTTAATACAAATTTTAAAAATTGGCATTTATGACATTACAAATAAATTTCAGATGCTAGTTACTTAGCTTTCAGAAATGAGGGGTGTTGGGGAAGGGCTTGAACCTCTCTAATAATGATTTTCATTAGACTTTCTAATCATTAAGTCCCATTTGGGCCGATGGTGTTTCCAAAATATATTTTCCCGTCTTCCAGGACGAGCTTCTCTCTCACACTGATGCAATCGCACTCTCCTTGGAGGAGGGTTTTCCTGTGTTTCGGAGTTTCATTTCTGCTCTATTTTCAGGTATAGTCGAGGAATACCAGCTTCCCTACCATGATCTGGTGCCCAGTGACCCCTCCTATGAGGACATGAGGGAGATTGTGTGTATCAAGAAGCTGCGCCCCTCCTTCCCCAACAGGTGGAGCAGCGACGAGGTAAGGCTTGAGGTAACGACCAACTTTGCTTCAGAATCTTCATCCCAGGAGCGTTTCTTCTTTGGGTTTCTTCGTGGTGATGGGGATGGCACCTCACGGGGGGCTGCCTTCAGGAGCCACGTGCAGGGCTGTGGTGTGCTGCTGCTTTGATCAGATTGGAGCTTGCTCCTTCCAAAATAATATGGAGGCGGGTCAACATTTTGCTTGCCTACGAGATCCCTTTATGTCATGTATTGAGGATATTAAAGCTTCTGTGTACATGGGGGGAGGGGGCGTGGATTGGGTTGTGTTTTTTCACCCTGGGGGCAGTTCTAACCTGTTCTTGGGGGGGCGGGTTGTGTGGGGAAGCGACTTGATGGTGTCAGCAGAGGCAAGCATGGGCACCGAACAAGTCCGCATGCAGCTCGGCTGTAAGGTGTAGTGGTGAGACCTACTCAGGTCGGGACGGGAGGGGGCTGGGCAGGCCTTGTCTGCCTCTTCCTAGTCCACATTCCTCTCCAGGGCCTCTTGTAGTCCCGTATGTCTTCACATCCCCAATGGTCTGGCGGGCTGGAAAAGTCACGTGTTTGAGTTTGAGCTGGTCAGTGGGGTATGGGGTAGAGAATTCACCAAACGTGCCAAAGCGATTGCAGACACCTGGACGGAACACTGCAAACTTGGTGTCAAACGCAGTTTGAAAATACGGTGGTTGTTGGTTTTATGTCCAATGAACTACACTGTTCGATAAGACGTGGGCTGTCTTAACAGATGGTGCAGAAGGTGCCCAAGTAACCTTCTTCTGAAGGTGGTTATGGGCGTTGGTCTTACTTAACTAGCCCTTCCCTGAAGATTTCTAATGACATGAAATGGCACCTTCCAGCCGGAAGACAATGACTGGTACACAGCAGGAGAATACAGAGAAAGGTCTCGCGATGCTGTGCACAGGTCATTCATCCTGTCCCCAGGGACCCTGCGATGCTCATCTTGCAGCAGGGAGTGATGGTTTACAAGTCGCCGTCTGGTATGGATGAGATCAAAGATCCAGCTGCATCAGGTGTGGTAAACCCTCTAGGAGAATGGTCTCCAATTCAGGCGTCCTGAGTGTTCTTGTATTTGTTGGACACTGACGGGCACAGACTCCTCACCCCCCACCCCGCTTCCACAACCAACCAAGCCCCCTGCTTAGTCCCTTCCTGAGAAGCTAAGAAAATCCTTTGGCTCCTGAGGAGTTTGCAATGAGAGGAATTTTCATATTTTGAAGAGAATCTTTAAAAAAAAAAAAATCTGTTCAGACTTCAGAAATGCAGCCAAAGCCCAGTGTCAGGCATCAAAACCTGCCCAGAATGCACTTCTCCAGCGTGACTCCAGTTTACTTCTCTTCCCACAGTGTCTGCGGCAGATGGGGAAGCTCATGACGGAGTGCTGGGCTCACAACCCCGCGTCGCGGCTGACAGCCCTGCGTGTGAAGAAGACCCTGGCCAAAATGTCAGAGTCCCAGGACATCAAACTCTGAGCTGAAGGGCAAAGAAAAAGGCCAAGAAGTCCAATCCATATTTCTTCTGTCTGCGGCGGGCAGAGCAGCTGGTGGCAGACAATGTCAAAGAAGCATCCACAGAACACGCCTAGAACAGCACGCTGCTCCCCGGTGGGTTCAGCCCTCCCCTCTCGGGAGAACCCTGGACAGACCACACAGCTTTATTCGCATCTGGTTCTTGGAGGGAGAAACCGCGTGGGTGACTTGTTCAGGATATTAATGCACCTTGCTTTCTAAGAAAGCTCTGGAGTTTTGGATCGCCTTTTTTTTTTTTTAAAGATGCTTTGAGTTTGCCAAAATTAAGCAAATGTAGACATTTTAAGGTTGATACTGTTCTAGTGAATATCACAACAATGAAAGTTCACTCCAGAATCTCTGCTGGAAAGTAAATTCCAGTGCAATGTTTCTGATTTTCCCCCTGGGTGAAATGGTACTGCAGTCTGCAAACCTGGAGGCAGTTTGTGGCGAAGGAGAGCGGAGCCTGGAGCTCCTCCCGAAGCCCACTCTCCTCCCTTTGCAGCTCCAGACAAGGTGGAGCAAATGAAGGTTTGATTGACTTTAATGGGAGAAGTCAAGGTGGATGCTGTTCTTCTAAACCACTTCCTGGTTTTTTTTCTGTTAGGTATTTCTTTCATGGTAAAAACCAGCAACTTTTTATTAAACACAAAGAACGTTTCCAGTCCCCCCCCCCCTACCGTTTTCTATGTGCAAAGAATTGACCCATGGATGCTGTGTTTAAGACAAGGTGTTTTAAAAACAGCTCATGTGCGCTGGTGTAAGAAAACCTGTGTGTCTTCAGGAGCGGAGGGCCAGGTGGGGAGTGTAAGAGCTGATTTCTTCTCCCAGGTGGGGAAGCGCCCCCATTTCAGCAGCACCAGGGGGAAGGAGCCACACCTTCTCATCCTTAACTAAAAGCTGTCTGGCGTCATTTCCTGTCTCTTGTGGGTGGGAGAGAAGGAAGGAGAGGGGCCTGCCTCGGTTGGGTTAGTTTAACCAGGTTGTAATTTAAACAGAAGTCCAGCCTCTTGAAGGCAGCGCAGAAGCAAGGTTGTGGGAGCCACACTCACGCTGTGACTGCTGCAGCGGTCTCTTCTCACGTACTTACGTCCTAAAGGGAGCATCTCATACCCTAGGAAGGCTGACTCCGTGGACTTTTTAGTTCCTTTTCATGCCCAACTCATTGTTCAATGTAGTTTGGGCCTTCTCTGTGGACCTCTTCAACTTCCTCACGGCATGGCAAGGTAAGCGTAAACTCTGTGTTGGGGCCAATACTCCTTAGCACCAGGAACATGGTAACATGGTACACCCCTCTCTCCACTTCTTTCGTTTCCATTTCTGTACTGTGGGGTTTTTTTGTTGTTTTTATAAATACTCCCGAATTTGAGAAGACGTCCCTCTTGGCCTTTAAAAAACTTGCCATTCCTTAGAGAGCACGCCAGGGGGCAGTGTTTCATAACACATTTTGCTCACTAGTCAGTGACTGAAAGATGGAGGCTCATTGAAAACCTGACAGCTGCATGACAATTGAGGAAATACTTTCCTCCTTCTGAAGTCGGCCTGCAGCTGGCAACCTGTGTCCAGCAAACATCCCAGTGCAGGGAGACACTGAGAGCACTTGCAGGTTGGGAGAACCCCACGCGCCCTCCATTTGACGTTCTTTTCCCAGGGCCTAATTAATTTGGTAGCTAACAACAAATAATTGATTAAGCCTTGAATATAGAGGGGGAAAAAAAATTTTTTTTTTCAGTTATTTTTTTAGGATCAAAGACAGTTGGTTCCAAATATAATTGCAAGGAGACTATTATATTTACTAGTATTAAAATAAGCTCACTAGCATTTTGAAAGGTCCTTTTTCTTTGGGTCAGTGGAGGAGGGTCTGTGGTTCGAATGCAGCGTCACAATGGTGTGAGCTTGGCACACAAGCGCAAGTGCCTTTAAGACGGTTCGTCAACCAACAATTTAGCAAACCTGGATACCAGAGAGGTCTGGTCAGGTTTGTCCTTGAGTTTCCCCCAAATTAAGTGAGGCTGGGCTTCCCGTGGGGGCAGGGTACTTGGTTTTTATTTTGGTTAAGTTACATGAGTGATTAAAATCAGAATATCTTGTAGGGAGGTGAGGATCTGAGAGCAAATGGTGTTGGTCCCAGCAAGGGATGGTAATGAGAGTAGTGGGCAGGTTGTCTTCTGTGGAATTTGTTGATTGCTTTGAAAAGTCAGGAACTGCTCTCTAATTCCAAACTTCACCTACTAAATGTGAACATTCAAAATTATTCCCAAAATACTTTAACAAGCGCCACTTACCTATTTTTCACTATATTTTAATAAGATTAACATTTATTTAAGAATAGATTTTTCTGTTTTTTTCCAAATTCACTTTACTTATGGAGTACTAAATTGTTATTAAAGACTACCTACTCATTTCTGATTTTGAAAAAACAATTTCTAGCTGCCCAGAAGTAAATTTTATCATTTTTTTTTCATTAGTTTCAATTCTCAGTGGAATAAGTGGGAATTTGGATTTTAATAATTTAGTTGATTGCTTATGGTTGGAACTATTTCTAAATATTAGTTGTTAGATAATATAAGTATTGTATGCTAAGATGTTCAGGTTTATAGTTTATGTACGTCTGTATATATGATAAATATATGTGTGTATATATAAATATTATGTTCAGTTTGGAGTCTGGCACAACTCCATTATGTGGAGAGAGTGAAATATAATGGGTGGTAAAGTACTAAATGAAACATAATATTTATTTATGAGAATTGGTAGAGTGTTAAGTCACACGGGACAGTGCTACGATTATCATGTGCGAGGAGACTGTGTGGAAAGCATTGCTCAAAAGCCACTTGTGGCCATTCTTCTAATTCCCCCAAGATAGAAGCGTCTTAAAAACAAAAGAAGGCAAGATTTTATTTCCAGGGAATCCTTTGACACACTTCCACTGGTGTACATTCAAGGTTAGACCATCCTTCGTAATGGCTGAACTCGGAGTTCCTAGAGTCGTGCATGTTCCTTAGAAGTTCGGGTGCCTTGTGTTATAGGTCTCTCCTTTGTGGGGAGGGGGAAAGGCTGTCAAAGAAGCCCGGTTTTCAAAATCCTGAGTATGTTTAGCCATGAGAACTCAGATAAATAAAACAAAGCAAACCTCCCTGTTAAAGCTGCGGGAACGAAGGATCTGGTATCAAAAATGATGTAGTTTCACAATTATGCTTTCTCCTGCCAACAACACAAAACAGAAAAAAAACAATGCCGTATCTTTGGGAGAAAAGTTGACTGTAGATAAGGGCTTTTGTTACCTTGTTTGTTTAAAAAAAAGACTCATTTATGTTCTTTTGGGGGAACCAGTGCCTTATTGAATTTGTATATACTGTAATTATTCAGGACTAGGGAACAAAAAATTGTATTTGTTACAAATTGTATATGGCTTTTGTTTTAACATTCCCCGAAATAAAGTGGTTCATTCTCCCCTTGGAGGGTAAAAAAAGTCTACTATCTTGTAGTTGTGTGACATCCCCCCCCCCCCTTACTTCCCTCCCTTTGGATGCATCCCAGTGGAGCAGGCAGGAAGGCAGCAAGGTAGGCCATGGCTGCAGGTCAGCTCGGGCATCCGGTGACAGGAGCCCAAGAGAAAAGGCCTGCTGACTCCTCCTTTCTCAGTAAGTAGGAGACACGAGGGCTAAGACAAGGAAGTCAGCCGTTTGAGAGATGTGGAAAAGTAGGGCTCGCTAGGAAAACACAGCCAGGTGCTTATGGGCAGCACGGAGGGCCGTTCTGATTGATAATTCCTACCACCCACGTGGGGCAGTGCTCACCCTGGAGTGCGGCTTGCCACAATGTGTCCACTCCCTCTGACTTGCTTGTGTTTGACTCCATCTAACCTACTAGCTCGGCTTCTTCTGGGGTGAGGAGAGGAGCAGCTCAGTCTCTACCCAACTGACTCTTTAGAAAAGATGCAATGAGTTCATCCATTCTCTAAGCCGGTGGCAATGCACTCACTTATCATCAAATATCAGATCCTATTGCAAAATCAGTGGTGCTTTTTTTCTGTGTGGTTTTGTGGTCTCAGTCTTCTATCAACACCGTTAAGTACAGCCAGAGACCCTGGGGGGTGGGGTGGAGATTATCATTGTGTTGGGGTTTATCAGCCTCATGATGCATGAAAAATGAAACAAAGCCAAATCTACAATCTTCGAATGGATTCCAACTCATAGGACAGTGTAGAACTACCCCACAGACTTTTCATGATCTGACTTTCTGTAAGCAGACTTTACTGCTTATAGAAGCAGAGGGCAGCAGCTTTCCCCCCTGGTGAGTGGCTAGGGAAAGAGGCTGTTCACAGTTCCTCCAGTAGCCTGCAGCCTTCACCCAGGGGCCACTGGGGCCTCTCTCCTGCGGATTTTTGAGAGACTACATGACAACGCATGTAAAGGCGGAACTGAGGAACAGGGAGGAAGACAGACTAACTGACAGGACAAGGGAGAGTGGAAACAGAAATAGTTTTATTAGTGTCGGGGGCGGGGAGCTCCCGGCAGAGGTTTCGTGACGTAGGCCAACAGGTCAGGGAAGTCATGCTCAGCAGCTGGGACGTGGGTTTTTAAAGAGGGGTGGTGAGGAATGTATGGCTATTATGGCAATCAGCATATGGGG